CAAGTGATTGCAAAGACCATGGCCTGTATCAGACGCACCTTAGTCTCCAGAGAGACACCATTGCTCTTCAGTACTTTGGAGAGGTCCCTAACAGCCGACTTTCCCATCGCAATACGTCTTTTAATTTCCTGGCTGCTGGTGCCAAGAGTGTTGACTGTAGAGCCAAGCAAATACAAACTGTGAACAATCTCCGTCTCTTCACCATCCATCCTGATGGTGCCAGTTGGCCCAGTGGTGAGAATCTTTGTCTTCCTGATATTGAGCCTCAATCCATATTGAAGACTGCAGTCCTTGAGGTACATATTACCATTCCTTAATTTTATAGCTGAAACTGAGGCTCAGTTAGGTTAACTTTCAGAATCCAAAGTTGAAACTGCTCCTCTGCAGTCCCATGTTCAAACCACACAGCTTAAAGAACGGCTGATGGAGCCGAAACCCATAGCCAAGGACCAGGCTGAGGACCGCCAGATGGCGCTGCTGGAGGCAGAGCTGCCCCCCGCGGGCCGGACGCACCTGAACAGAGAGCTGGGGTTCACCAGAGGAAGCAGGCTCGTTAGGTAGGGCAGGGAGCAGCCCTATCCCTCAGGCAAGAATAGGCAAAGGGTTTTAGTTCAGCCTGCTGGGACTTTGCTAAAGAGTCACGCCTCCACCAGGCGACCCCTGGTCTGCACCAGCTAGCCGCCAGCTTTGCGTTTCCTCGAGTGCAATAGAGCACAATTAATTTGGAGGATTAAGGGGTTAGAATAGATCCCACCAGGCCTTCCAGAAGGGGTGCGGCCAGGACTTCGCCACCCCCACCTGTCGGCTGCTGGAGGGGGCGGGACAGGGGGTCGGGCCTTGTCCGATAGGGCCCGCCCCCCTGTCCCCGAACCCCAGGCGCGCGACCATATATATAAGGCAGTCGGGAAACAATGCTCTCGCAGCACTCGCTCCCGCGCGGATCTCGGAAGCATCAGGGCCGCTGTGCCCGAGCAAAGAGGAGGACGCGCACGGGCGGGAGGGCGCGCTCTTGAGTCTAGGGCGCGCGCTCGGTGGCGCGCATGTGTGTGTGTGCCGACTGCCGGGCTGCCCCGAGCCGGCGGGGAGCCGGTCCACTCCTAGTGGCTGGCGGCCGGAGTGAGGTGAGGCAGCGGGTGGCCAGGGGACGGGTCCCGAGTGGTAGGTGGCAGGCTGCCTTCTAGGCACAGAGCGCCTCCACCCCAACCAGGCCAGGTCCTGGGAGCTGCGCTCCGGGCGGCGCTGGCAAAGTTTGCTTTGAACTCGTTCCCTGCTGCCCGGTCCGCGCGCATTGAGCGGCTTCTCTGGGCGCACTGACCGAGTCTGGCTTCGCGGGACGCCAGAGCAAGGCACCAGCTGCAAGCCAGTGGGGCTGGGGAGGTACAGGAGCTCAGTGCCTGGCTGCGCTGAGGGACCCAGGGGCACCTCCCTCCCCGGGCTTGCATCCCGGTCAGCCCGACCCCTCTTCCCTCCCACAGGGAGCGGACATGGACTTCGACTCGTACCAGCACTATTTCTACGATTATGACTGCGGGGAGGATTTCTATCGTTCCACGGCGCCCAGCGAGGACATCTGGAAGAAATTCGAGCTGGTGCCGTCGCCCCCCACGTCGCCGCCGTGGGGCTTGAGTCCTAATGCTGGGGACCCAGCCCCTGGGATTGGCTCCCTGGATCCATGGCCCGGAGGGGGAGCTGGGGACGAGGCGGAATCTAGGGGCCACTCGAAAGGTTGGGGCAGGAACTATGCCTCCATCATCCGCCGTGACTGCATGTGGAGTGGTTTCTCGGCTCGGGAACGCCTGGAGAGAGCAGTGAGTGACCGGCTAGCCGCCGGCGCTCCCCGAGGGAACCCACCCAAGGCGGCTGCCACCCCAGACTGCGCTCCCAGCCTCGAAGTCAGCACTCCTGCGCCCACAACTCCTTGTCCGCTGGGCGAGACCAAAACCCAGGCCTGCTCGGGGTCCGAGAGCCCTAGCGACTCGGGTAAGGATCGCCCCGGGCCACTTAAGAAGGGGGCACCCTGTGGGTGGCAAAAAGTTCTACCGCTTTCTGAGGTCAGGCACTGGGTTTGGGCAAGCCTTTCGCCCACCTCCCTCTTTCCCAGGCTAAAGCTGCCGGTTTAGCCCCCAGCAGTGTCTGTCTGGCACGTGGGTGTGTTGGTAAACAGTTTGAAGAAGTGGCTTGGGAGTCAGCATCCTTTTGATGATGATTGGAGCCCTAGGGGCACAAGGGAAAGAGAGTTGGCACTTGCAAAGGAATATCCTGGGATTGGATTGTAGGGGATATCAGTCCTTGGAAGGCTAGAAGGGGTCCCTTCAGGGTCACTCCAGGCTTTAAGTATTTTATTTATTCATTTTTGTGTATGTGGCTTCCTCTTTCACTGGAAAACTCACAATACCCCCTAGGGAAGGAGGAAGCTGAGAAACCTTTTGTGCAAAGCTGAAACCATCATATTAAAAAAAGGGGTCTCTAACCTACTTTATTTTTAAATACCAGTAATGCCTTTCTCATGCCCCTTCCAGCCCTTACCACTGTGCATCCTCACCTCCACAGGGAGACAGGTAGTGGAACAAATGCTCCTCATTAACAGATTGAAAAACTGAGGCGTAGTAGAGACAGGAATCATTAAAAGTGAGTTGTAACTTTCTGCCACCTATAGATAGCTTTCTTTCCCCACTCAGGCACCTTCATTTTCAGTGTCTTCAATACTTACTCACCTGAGAAGGCTCTCCCTTGCTTTAGACTGAGATGAAAAAGTGTTCCAGCTCCTTCCCCTACTTATCTGAGGGCTTCAGTTGTTCCCTGACGGTCTACAAGTATTCCCTGGTCACTATTTCGTACCAAGCTCTGAACTAAGGCTGAAGCTGGGGATGTGGAACTCCTCTTGCCACTGATGCAAGTGCCAACCTTGTTGAGGGCAGACTGCAACATCCCGTGCACCAGACTACTTTGTTCTTAGCCCAGCCTCTTCCACTATGAGAAGTGCTGGAGAGGAAGCTTTTGCTGGGTACAGATGCGGCAGCGGTCAGGTAAATCAGGACAGGGAAAGCTCACTGTATTTATAGAGAATAACTTTTAAATGACCATTTGAGACCAGAAGAATGAGATATGGGAGTTGTCACACACTTGAAGAGAAAGATGAATCAGAAAAGTGTTAATTCTTTTACGAGGAGTGAATGTGCTCATTTTCTATACCAAAAGCTGTTTGCTGAATGGTTCAAATAGAGATCCTTGATATAAAAATTCCAATAAGAATATGTCTCTACCAAGGCCGGTGGAGTGGTAGGATGGAAAGAGTACTATTTGGAGAGTTTGGAGAGATTCTAATTTGAGATTCAGAACATAACTAAAATGCTTTGTGGGCTTGCCTCTTCCTTCCTTTCTTTGGGCCTCAGTTTCTCTCTTTATACATGAGAGGTTGGACTCAGTTGGCCTGATGATGCTATTTCCTTGTGTAGGCATAGAAGAGTTCCATACTGCATTTGAGAAAGCGAGTGATGTGTTCAATTCTTTTTTCCTCAGCCATAAGGTTTAGCGCAGAAATAGTAAAGGTCTGGGAAGTGGGGAAATCTCCTGAATCATTTTCAGACCTGCTCTTTAACCTGAACCTGTTTGTAGGCTCCTGGTTCACTCACAGGCCACATGGCCTAGAACAAAATGCAACAGATTGCAAACAATGAGGGGGGTGGGGAGAGTGACTGACGGCAGAACTCAGCCAATAGGGGCTAGGGGTTGGTTAAAACAGCATTCCAAACACAGCTTAGCCAGCCAATCACAGGCTTTGGGGCCAGGAGGGCTGAATGGTCAGGTTTTATTAATGGAGAAATAATGCGATTGTCCACACAATGGAAGCCTTCCTGACAAAGGGGCTCCTGCATCCTGATATGCAAAAGAGGGCGAGAACTGAGCTCTTCTGTTGTCAGGCTGAAATGCGTTAAGATGGCCTTCTGTGCAGGGCTTGCAAAATGAAGACAGCAGAGTGTTTTTTTCTGCCAATTGCTTCTCTCTTGGCTGGGGTCACCCTCAAAGGCCTTCAGGCCAGGAAATGGTGGGGACAGGTCCAGGTGTCTCTCTAGGTCGTTGGTGGTCTGGTCCTGTTTACAGGACATTCTGTTGCTGCTCAGTTTCTGCCTCTGACACAGGTAGCTTGAAAAATCTTGGCTTGTACCTTTGTGATGATTTTATAGCTCTCACAGACCAGTGATTACAAACCCAGCCCTCTCTGGTCCAGGGAAGGGGGTGGGGCAGTCGACCTATAAATGATGGATGACTTTAGAAACCTATTGAACCCTGGAGCAAAATGCCCCTCAGGGAAACTCTGTCCCTCCTCTCTGTGGGTGAAGAGGGCTGGGTTTGTCGCCCTCGCTTCTCTGAACCTTCAACTGAAAGGGATGGCAGAATAGAGAGGTGGGGGAATAATAGGATTTATAACTTGTGAAAAGTAACAATTCCCCAAGTGCAGGCTGTGCTGGGCCGGAACAAAGGGCAGCTCTGCCCACAGACCCTTCATTTACAATTCTGATGGAGCATGAAAGAGCCCGACTGGGGAAGATCTTTATAGCTAAACTTTGTCCCAGGCCGGTAGCTCTTTCTCTCCATCTCAGTGGGGGAGGGTAGAGCCTGTGCAGACTGGGGGCTGTTGGCTTGGGTTTGCCTTTTGTTCTTATCTAAGCCTTGCTGTGCAAAAGGAAATTGGAGAATATTTTCCTTCTCGCTTGGTTCCCCTCCTTTCCTTTATGATGATGTCCTTACCCAATTGCAAATAAATCAGCCAGACTTTCTACTTCCATTTGTTTCTGTCTAAATTGAGAAGTCCCTTAACCTTTCCAAGCTTCTGCATGGAGAGCTAAAGTGGTAAGGTCTTCTGTGTATGTTTCTCATTGGATGTGTTCCTTCTTTCTCTCTTCTGGACAGAAGGAGAAGAAATTGATGTGGTGACAGTGGAGAAGAGACAAGCCTTAAGTGTCCGGAAGCCAGTCACCATCACGGTGCGAGCAGACCCCTTGGACCCCTGCATGAAACACTTCCACATCTCTATCCATCAGCAACAACACAACTATGCTGCCCGTTTTCCTCCAGAGAGCTGCTCCAGAGAAGAGGGTCTGGAGAGAGAACCCCAAGAAGAGGCTCTGGAGAAAGATGCTCCAGAGGAAAAGGGAGAGGAAGAGGAAATTGTGAGCCCTCCGCCTGTCGAAAGCGAAGCTCCCCAGTCCTGCCACCCCAAACCTGTCAGTTCTGATACCGAGGATGTGACCAAGAGGAAGAACCACAACTTCCTGGAGCGCAAAAGGCGGAATGACCTCCGTTCGAGGTTCTTGGCCCTGAGGGACCAGGTGCCCACCCTGGCCAGCTGTTCCAAGGCCCCCAAAGTAGTGATCCTAAGCAAAGCTTTGGAATACTTGCAGACTCTTGTGGGTGCAGAGAAGAGGATGGCCACAGAGAAAAGGCAGCTTCGATGCCAGCAACAGCAACTGCAGAAGAGAATCGCGTACCTCAGTGGCTACTAACTGACCAAAAAGCTCAACTGCTCTGTCTTACAAAAACCCACGTTTATTTTGTATCCTCTCCCCTCCCCTTTAGTAATTTGCACATTTTGTTTATGGTGGGACAGTCTGGACAATAGATCCCAGAATGCATTGCAGCCAGTGCACACAATAAGGGCTTGCATTCTTGGAAACCTTGAAACCTGGCTCTCTCTCCTCCCTGACTGGAATGCTGTGTCTTCTCGGCGCCTTTGGCTTCTCAGGCAAGCAGCTGACTGTGGAGTCTTGGGGTCTGCCTAGCTCACTAGCTCAGAAAAAGGAAAAAGAAAAAAAAAAGCCTGACAGATGCTATGCAACAGGTGGTGGACGTTGGGGGTTGGGGGGCTCCAGCCTGCATGAAATCTCACACTCTGGATGAGCTTTGGGCTGGGAAAAGATGCTCCCACTGGTGTCTCGGGTGATGCTAGGACAGCTGGGGCTGGATGTTCTTCCTGAGGCTCCTTTTTCCAGGAGACACATGAGCTGTCTTAGATGGAGACAAGCTAGCGGACTTGATCAACATGGACCATTACCTCACTGTCAGACACTTTATAGTAGCTGAGGAGTTGGTAACCCTTTTAGATATGTCGGTGTATATATAAACCTTTTATATATACTAGAAATGTTAGATAACACCCCTTCTCCTTCCACCTTCAATGCTGCCACTTTGAGAACTTTTAAAGAGCTTAGCCTCTAGATTCTTTGTCTAAGAGCCCTCTGGGCCCTTTCCCCAGAGGGAGGGACCATTTGGCCTCACAAGGGACTTTTTTGTTTCATTCTACCTTTGTTATGCAATGGACTCTTCTGCACCCCTTTCCCACAAGGTCGGAAATATTTTCCCTAGACACCGGGAAATTGGTCCTAGCCTGGGGCCATGAACTTGTTCCCTGCCCAGGTATTTTTCTGAGGAGCCCTTGAGGCTCATGTTGAAATCTTTCCTCGAGGCAGACATAAGGCACCTCAGAAGGCACAACTGTACCACTTCCTTTTTCTCATCCTCTCATTTCAATTCCTGATTGGTAAGTTTGAAGTTCTATGGAACCGTGCAAAACTGTCCTCATACAGCCAGTCCTAAGGAAAGAGTTGGCTCTGTAGTCACCACGGGCTCCCCGCCATCCTGCCTTGAGTTAGAGCTCTTTCCTGGAATCTGGGTTTTACTGAAGTTCTGAGAGAGCCTCCCTGACACTCACCTGGTTGAGTTAGTGCTCTAGAAGGTGGACTTGCTTCCTGGTGGGTTTCAAAAGAGCCTCTAGTAGCTCTGCTGAGACACCCATGATGGATTTAGCCCCACCTGGGCTCTTCAGCTCCAAGAAGAATGTGGGGAAATCCTCTAATGTAGGAAAAGTGCCCAACCCAACGAGTTTCAGTCAACCCCAGGAACCCCTGGGCCTAGTCTAGAAGGAACAGTTCCTCCAAAACTCTGCCAGATGCAGCAGGTGCCTGCTGGCTGTAGGTTTGGAGTGGAGAGTAGAGGTAGGGTGGGGTGAGGATGGCAGAGCTCTGTATGTAACTCTGGAAAACCAGCTACTACTCCCAAAACTGTTGCCTGTGGTCTGTTTCAGAGGTTGCTTCCTGCCGTCAGAGAACCTTGGCAGAAGCCTGCAAAGATTTCTCTTCATTCTGAAACATGGTTTTCTGGAACTAAATTGACTTCCAGAACTATCTTTAGAGGACAGGTGGGATGTGAGTTATTGATGTCTCACCTGAAGAGCTTGTGTTTTATAAGCTGCTGTTAGGTATTATGCTGGGGGCAGTTTTCTTTCTTTCTTTTTTTTTTTAATACTGTATTTTTGTATGACTTTTGCAAAGTGGTGTTGTTCTTGTACAAGGGTGGGGGGAACCCACCCTCTAGAGCAATTCTCTTATTGCAAGGGTCTGATTTCTTTTGAAAGGCAAGTTTACCTGAAATTTTGTATTAGTTGTGGTTATTGATTGCCTGATTTTAAAAAGTTGCCTTCTGGGACATCTTCTTCTAATAAAAGGTTTCTCAAACATGCCAGAGTGGGGGCAGCTTGTGCCATCTGAGTCCTCTGAGCCAAGGAGAAGTGTTTCAGGCAGGATAGCCACATGTGATCTGCAAATTCTTGAACAATGTTGCTAACCTGGTCATTCCACTTTGGGTTCCTGAAATGCCATTTCAGACATGTTTAAACAATGTAGGCTCAGTACTTGGTGCATGTGAAATTCTCTTGTGAATTGCAAAATGCTGAATTTGTGCTTTGGGAGGCTTGAAATCCCGGCCCCACCCCTTACTTGTTTTGTGGCCATTTAACTTTTTCCTTTCTAAGCCCTAGTATCCTTATCTGTAAAATGGAGATTAAATATGATTTCACAGGGGCTTTGCGAGTATTAAATGAAGGAATAGACTTCAAACGGCTTCCTATATCGTGAAGCCTTATATTCTTTCTGGGAGTTCTGGTGGCATAGTTAGTGGAAAGTTGTGCTGCTACCCCAAAAGTTTGAAACCACTAGCAGCTCTGCAGAAGAAATATGGACAGTCTCCTTCTGTGCAATTTAAAGCCTCAGAAACCCACAGGATGTTCTGTTATGGTTCAGTTCCAACTTGATGGTAATAAGTAGTAATGAGTGTATATTCTTTAGGGAGGTTCTGTCTGTCCTTGCCTTAGAGGTATAACAACCTGACCCTTTGCAAGATATCTTTTTAAAAATCCTACCAGCTATTCTTAGTACAGAGTGGCGAGAAGCTGTGCTGCAATCCCAAAGGCACATGGTTTGCGGCCACCAGCTGCTCCATGGGAGAAAGATGAGCAGTCTCCTCCCACGCAATTTATTGCCTCTGAAAACCCACTGGAGGGTCAGCTATGGGTCAGTTCCGACTCTACAGTACCCAACAACAGCTAGTATAAATGGTTAACATGTTCAGCTGTTAACCAAAAGGTTGGAGGTTTGGGTCCATCCAGAGGTACTTAAGAAGAAAGGCCTGAAAATCTACTTCTGAAAAAATGAGCAGTTGAAAACTCTCTGGGACATAGCTCTACTCTAACGTGCGTTGTCCTGAGTCAGAGTCAACTCTATGACAATTGGTTTTGGGGGGTTTTTTGGCTTCCTGATGGACCAATGCCTACATCTAGGTACTCTGCTTACAACTTTTATATCATGCCACACTAACCACGTGCCAGGGCTGTAGATGAGGAAACCGAGGTTCTGAAAAGAAAATGAGCCTGCTCTGAGTCCCATGCTAGTAAATTAGTTGAGATTTTATATCAGTTCTGTATTTCTAGAGCCAGCATGTTTTGTTAGCATAGGGTGTCTGTGGAAGAGGTGAACCGGGAATTCTGTCACTTAACTGATTATTGGAATTCTCTCTTCTTGAAGCCACTGGGCCTGGCATTTGTTGAGACAAATCGGAGCAAATGTTCCATGACCAGCCTCTCGGCAGCATTTGTGGGTAGATGGGATAGCTTTGCCCCAAAGAGGCCTCTTTTGGGACTATGCAAAGAACAGTTGCTGTTCAAAATGGCCATGAACATGAAGTCGGGAAAAGGCTGCTTTGCCTCTGCTAATCCCACACTACAGCTGGGACCTGGGTCAGGAGCCTGAATAGAACAACAAGCTATTCTTAATTCCTCACATTTACAAAGCAGCCTCTTAATACCTTCCATGATAACCTGGTAAGTAAACAGTGTCAGCTATATGGGACTGGAGCCCAAAAAAGAAGTTTCTTACTCAAGGTCATAAAGCAAGATCAGGATTCCAAGTCCAGTTCCCTATCAGATGAACTTTCCACTCAACCTTCATTACCCCTTCGTCACCATCAGTAGTACCTGGCTGGTAAAACACAGACTTGGGTTACTGAAATTCTTAAGGCTCACTTTCTCTTTTTTCTGAGGCTATTTGTCAAGAGGTAATGGTTGTAGAACTTCTCTGACCTTCAGAAACAGAAACTTCTGAGCAATTAATAAACAAGTAGCTGCTCCTGGGCACAGACATCATTGCCTTAATACATGTCTTAATTCTCATAGCAACCTAAGAACAATGCTATGAGTCCCATTGCACAGAGAGCACACTGATGGCCAGGGACGCTTACATCATCTGTCTGAGTCCACCCAACTGGTAAGCTGCTGCCTGACTCCAAGCTGCAGCTCCTTTGACTCCCACTGTGCTGAAAAAGGAGTGGAAGGAAAGCCATCTCCTGGGGGAAGAGAGGGTGTTTCTGGAATTTGAAGTATTTTAAGCTTCTTTCTACCTCATTTCTACAGACTCCTACCTTTATCTTTGTCTGAAAATAGCCAAGAGTTTATTCCTGGATTTCAGGGAACAATTTCTACAAATTAGGTTTGCCTCTGAATAGTAGACTCAGGGGAGTACACAGCTCAGAAAGGTAAGCAACAAGAGGTCGCCAAGAAGGCACACTTATAAAAAAAAGAAAGCTTAGCTTCCCTATTAGAGGATAATAGGCTGAAACTCTCGTTCTTATTGCCAGCTACTTACGGAAGCTCTGATGGCCTAGTAGGTAGGGAGTTGTGCTGCCAGCCGACAGGTGAGTGGTTCAGATCCACCAGATGCTCTGAGGGAGAAAGAGGAGCCATCTCAGCAATGAGTCCGTTTAAAGATAAGAGACAGGTTATGATGTCTGAATTTATCTGAAGTAACCTTGGGGTCAAGATATCCCAGAATATTTAGAAGGGGGAAAGTGGGACCTTTGTTCACCTAAAAGGTGTTTAGGAGAGAGTGGGAGACAGGTTCCTTTCCAAGGATAAGATAGGAATACCAATTGAGAGACAACTGGGTGACTGAGGTGGGGGGGTGTTCTAGATGTGTCAGTTGAAGTTCCCATCAGCCCGTTGGTATGTGGGCATTTCTATTCTCAGTCCAGTGGGCAGCTTTTGTTCATATCTGTTTATTTAGAACTGTTCCTGCCAAGGGGATCGACTGTATTGTTACAATTCTCTTGGCAGAGAAATGCAAATATGCTTTTAATGTTTCTAATCAGGTGTGCTATTAAATTATTAGGCTTAGTGCCA